TATTCAATAATTAGGTAAAATTATTTACGTTCTAAATATGCTTCTAAAGTTGGTTTCAAATCTAAAACTGGCTCTACTTTTAAAACTTAATGTAGAACTTTATTTTCAATTAATCAGGAAGCATTGACTTGTTCTCTAAGGTGAAAAATTGCGTTGTCTTTTTGGAATGCTTTAACCGTAATTGTTAATTTATTTTCAATAGAAATTTGAACAAAGCCATTTATAAATGTTTGAATGTTTTTGTTATTTTATAGTATATGTTTAAATTATGTTTGATTTCCTTTCCTTTCAAATCTAGTAAAGAGTTTCGTAAAAAGCATTTTAATTCATATTAAAAAACAAAATGTAACATATGAAGCACACTTTAGTTTGCTGATTTAAATTTTAACTAAAATTAAACAAAAAATAGCTTTTTTAATAAAATTATAATGAATGGCAAAAAAATGAAGAAGCAGAATGCCAATGTTTGCTTCAGTTCTGTAATGTTGTCACGCATCTGAATCCTATAGGAAGTAAATAAGGAATACATTTTAAGAAGTAAATAAGATATTAGAATTATTTAAATTATTTCGAAAAGTTGAATTATCTTCACCATTCCCCATTTTTGAAATTCATTGAAAATTAGATAGATTCTTATTAAAAAAAATTTATTTTTTTTTACTTAAGAATAAATAAAAATAGAGAAATCAAAGCTTCTTTGTAGAAATTTTTATTCTAAAGAGATAACTGTAAAAATGTTTAAATGCTTGAACAATTTCATTAAATTTCTTAAAATCTCTCATAAAAATCTACTCAGGAGCAAATAGATAATCCACGGTTAAAAAAAATACAACTTTTCATCGTTTTACCCAAAGATTAGAAGCAACCATGTTATTACTTCAGTGTAAAAAGAAATTTATACACTAAAAACACACACACACCTCAAAATTTTAGCATTGAAACTACTGAAAAATCCTATCTCGAAATTGCGAGTGAATATATATAAATGAAAGAGACACACACAACACACAATGTTTTAAAAATAATCTTGGAAAATTTAGTTCACTCAAAAACAGTTGTATATTTTAAGGTATCAGTTGAGTGAGTGCTGAATAGCGTTGTATTTAAAGTGCTATTGACAACGAACATCGTAATTTTGAACTCAGGCAAGAGTCGAAGACGACACCTGAGCTGGCATCCCACTCTCTTATGTTCCGCATAACGTCAGGGTGAGGTTGATTGAATATTAACGTCGCACTGTTCAGCTACACGAGGGCTTTTGGCGACGGACCACGGAATTTTGAACCATGGTCAAGTGACGTGGACGACACCTGAGCTGGCAACCCCTCTCCTAACTACCACACCACACCAACGGGAGGACGTTTCAGCTCTCGACAGATTTAAAGTGCATCCCTGCCCTACACGGCGGGTCTTTAGTGGTACTGGGCTCAAACTCATGACAAGGCAAGCCACGATCCGATACCTATACCACTCGGCCACCGCGGCCACACGTCAGGGTGAGGACTTTCAGCCTTGCCAGTTTTAAAATGCAGCTACCCCTCAACAAGGCAGGTCTTCAGTGGCATAAGGACTGGAACCCACGAATGGACAAAGCACGCTACGAGCTCGTGACCAGGGCCTCTAAAGGCTTCTTGAGGGCCTGGGCCCCTACACAAATGTAGGCCCCACCTATGACCCTTAAAAGTAGACAGTACGCAGCATACGTTGTCAAAAACTCATATAAACAATAACCCGAAACAAATAAGTATGTATGACTTACAATCACACAAAATAGCTGGAACGATGGTCACCTTTTGACTGAATGAGTTATAATGATGTATGGAGATAGGCCTCTATGTCTATACAAGGAAGACGGTCATCACATGTAGCCAGTTGATCTATCGTCCGGAATTCCCAGTTTTTCGGAGAATACAATCGGAAAGGACATTTGACCGTTGAAATTAGTCGAAGAATTGTAATCTTAGTAAGACTGAGTCGAGAACGAGACGAGGTCCCCTTTGTGGCCGAGACCCTGGGCCAAGGCCCAGCTGGTCGATGCTTTAAGAGAAGTCCCTGTTCTTCACTATGACTACTAAACTACCGCGCGCCATGGTATCAATTGAATTGCTATCTGTATTGTCCTACAACATGCTTATGCATAGTAAAGAATTATTTATATATTTTTACACACACACACACACACACACACACACACACACACACACACACACACACACACACACACACACACACACACACACACACACACACACACACACACACTGGTGTGCAAAAATTAAGGACGACGGTTTTTCAATATAACTTTGTACAAAAGCTTTCCAAATCAACACATTTAATACCGTAAGATCCCCAATACGTAAGGACATGTGTAATATGTAAGCAACACTTACTAAAAAGAGAAATCAGAGGGATAAAAAGAAGCTTGATTGAAAAAGTAGCATGGAGCGCAATGCGACTGAAGGCCGAAACATCCCTGTGATGGGTGTCCAGCAAGAAACATCCGGTCTTTAGTAGGGGGATATGATCTCCCCTGACTGCTAGGCAGGTTTCACAGCGTCTGCCCATGCTGAGAATGAGGGTGTCAATGAGTTGTTGAGGCATAGCTGCCCATTCGTCTTGCAGCGCCAATCGAAGCTCCCGAATCGTTACTGGTGGTAAGGTACAAGCTGCCAAGCGTCTGCCTAGAAAATCCCATACATGCTCGATGGGATTGAGATCCGGAGATCGTGCCGTCCAATCCATACGTTCAATATCCTCACTCTCTAAGAGCTGTTCGGCAGCTACTGTGCGATGACATGGTGCATTGTCGTCCAGGAAAATGAACTGCAGACCCATAGCGCCTCTAAAAAGACGCACATATGGAAGAAGAATCTCGTTACAATAACGGGTCCCGTTGACTGAACCTGCGTCGAAGATGTGAAGGTCTGTACGACTACCAAGCATGATGCCTCCCCAAACGAGAACACCGCGACCTCCATACCTGTCCCTTTCAATGATGTTCGAGGGATGATTGCGGCTTCCCCGCTCTCTCTAGATGAGTATGCGATGAGAATCGCTACTCAAACTGAATCTGCTCTCATCTGTAAAGAGTACTCGTCCCCATTCATTGTCTCTCCAATTCCAGTGTTCCCGGTATCACAAAGAACGCCTTCTCCGATGGGCAGACGTTAAAGGTACACACCGTACAGGGCGTCGTGCAAACAGACCACCACCGTGCAGTCTTCTGGCCACGGTAAAACGCGATATCGGTCGTTCAGTCGCCTGTGTCGTGTGTCTAGCGATTTCTCCCGCTGTCTGCCGCCTGTTTCTTCTGGCCTGTAAGACAATGCACCGGTCATCTGCGGGTGTGGTTCCTCGTGGACGACCACTATTGAACCCCCGGATAGCTGTTCCTGTAGTTTGAAATTGTCTCCAAAGTCGTGAAACGATGCTGTGAGCAATTCCGAACTCTGCAGCCACACTTGTCACTCTGCGGCCTTCCTCCGACTTCCCAATGATTCGACCTCGGGTAAAAGCATCCAGATGTCGTCTAACAGATTGATTATTCGCCATTTCTCGCTGAGGCAGCAATTCGGTGTGATTTTAACTGCTATACGGCGTGCAATCTCTTTGCCAGAAATACTGATCTTACACCGACAACATGCTTTATACTACTCCGACACTCCCCCATTACGTCTACCTGCATATCTGCGCATGTGCTACCGTACATCACCTTACTTAATCTCCTGATTGGTCTTTCTGTCCGCTCTGCCTCTTCGTTCAGCTGATATGCTAATTTTTCGACTTCGTCTTTACTTTTTGCACACCAGTGTATATATATATATATATATATATATATATATATATATATATATATATATATATAGTACCAGTAGAGCACATAGGAATTTTTCAAGGGGGGGTCCGGGGTCGAAAGTTCACCATTCTTGTATCATGGTCTTTTTGATTTTGTCGATTTTCGGGAACAAAATACAGTAAAAAACTAATTATTGAATAAATAATTAGCATTAATTAATAAAATTAATCATTAATAACAAGTACTTAATTAAATTTTAAGTACTATATACTTAGAAATATAATCAATCGGAAAAAAAAATCAAGGGCTTTGGGGAGGAACGGACCCCCAGGACCCCTCCCCCCCTTGTGTGCGCCACTGTATAGTACAAATAAATTACCCGATTTTAAAATCTTATTGCAATATGTGTAAAAATTTCGAAAATATAAGTGATGCAGGAAATGTAAGAAAATCATTACTTCACGGTCGACTACGATGCTGAAAACACTGTAAAAAGAACGTAATTGTGCGTTATTAGGAACCATTGGCAATGTGGTACTACAAAATCTACAGTACGGACTTGATTACATGCAAGATGTTTGTCGTGTAACAATGGTGTCTCACATCAAGCATTTGTAACTGAAAATAAAACGGGGTTTATTTTTCTTTTATATCGTGTATCCTTTATTGTAATATGTGTAATAGTTTTGAAAATATAAATATTTAATATCCGATCACATTCACTTATGCTAACCTTGGTATATCTCTAAGAAATCGTGCAACTATATTGCTATCAAGGTGCTATTTCAAAAGGTACCGACTGAACATGTGAAGAATTCTGAATGCCCCTCAGGGGGGCATTCAGAAACGCTGCTTTAAAGGGGGCGCGAGCACATCGAAAAGTCGAAAACAAAAGATTATTTAAAAAAACAAGTAATATATAAAAAAAATTCAGTCAATTCCTACTTAGGAAAACAAAGAAAATTTTTATTGCTACTTTTCACACATTAAATTGTTACAATTAATATAAGTATGCATATACATAGGACAGAATCGCAATATTAGGTGACAAAACAGAATGCGATTTTCTTCGCAATTTTCCATTTTCCTTTCTATATAGGGTATTGGATTTTTTTTGTTTATTACTTTTTATTCATTAATTAAATTCAAGTATTCCAATGAAATAGTGTAGTAACAAAATAAATCACATTCTCAGAAATTAGGCCATCCCTGGAGGGATTCGAGCCCACGATTTCTGGATTAGAAGTCAAACGCGCTACCCATTGCGCTACAGGGACACAACGAGTGATTTTCCTTTTTATATATGGTGTTGGACTATTAATTTTGTTTGTTACTAATTATTCATTAATTAAGGAATTTATATCCGAAAAAACTGTATTAACATCAAGTGTCATCCACTACAAATTTTTAAAAATGTGTTTGAACTTGAGTGGATGAATAAAAAGTATTTTATTAACGATTGAGAATTTGAACAAGATACGAGATATAAGTAAATAAATTTATGAACAATATATATATATATATATATAGGGAGATAGAGAGTGAACTAATATTAGGAATTGAAAAAGTATTAATTAACTGCTGAAAGGAAGCAAGGCAAATATACCCTGACATTATAAAAATATAACATGTACATTTACACCGATATATTACATTTATAAATTTATCAATACTGCACACAATATATTTAATAATTAATTTAACATTACTGAGAGCAAGTTTCGGAATTATCAGTGGGAACTCTCTTCAAGGGCTTTTCATGTATAATATAATATACAAAATTTTGTACTTATCTTGATAATTTGTCGGTTTATAATTCGAGTGGTATAGTTGCTTTAGCGTCAAAGTATATTATTATTGAATTCAATACATTGTTATTGCATGGAGAGGGTGGGGTGGGGGGTTGAAAATTGGGTCGCAAATATTGAAAGTTTGAGAAGCACTGCTTTTAAGGAAGATTAACTGCCTATCAAACAGTGGCGTAACGGAGAATACTACGGCCCCCTGTACTTGGTGTCAGTTAGGTTTGGGGTCTCCTCGAATTCTGGGGCCTCGTAATGCGGGGTGTACGTTACGCCACTGCTGTCAAATGACACTGAACTTGATGGTACAACAGGCCTTCAAGGTGAGATCCTTCATTCAGCTAACCAGGCTTAAGTCTGTAGCGTATTAAGACCCATCAATATTTTGTAATGAATATTATTTAAAACCTTGATCATAAAATGTTAAAGGAATTCAACAGATTAAAAATTTTGCTCTCACCAAGAATTGATAAATACCAGGGCTTCGAACCGGAACTGAACAGAAAAAAAATAGTTTTATTTCAGTTCGATATATTTTCAGTTATTTTGTTACTGTAGTCACACACACACACACACACACACACACACACACACACACACACACACACACACACACACACACACACACACACACACACACACACACACACACACACACACACACACACACACACACACACACACACACACACACACACACACACACACACACACACACACACACACACGCACGCACACACACACACACACACAACTTATCAATATTTTCTAATTTAACGTCAACCCTATAATTATCATCATTCAATGCACATTGCTTCTCGATTTCCTGTTTTGATGTTCACAACTGCTTTTCTGTTTCAGTTTTGTATAAAATTACTTGTAGAAGGCAGATTTAATCCTTGAATGAACTAGAAGTATATAGATGATTTTTTTTGAAGAAAAATATCAGTGAGAGTTACAGTTTTCGCGTATCTCAGCTGGTGATCAACCATGGATGTATGTGTGTGTTTGTATAGACTTTTTAGACATTGAAACCAGAATCATGAACATAGTTGTCAAATGCGGTTTTCATAATGGATAACAAAGCCAATTCTTCTCGTTCTCTGTTCACCACTCGAGAATCGTACATGCTGGATAATTATATCAATTGACATAATGTAGCAATTTATTAAAAAAAAACAAATAATATAAGTTTTTTTAAAAGTCAATTTCTTCTTGGGTCAACAAAGAAAATTTTTATTTTAGTTACTTTTTATATTAAATAATTACAATTAATATAAAAATATGTATATGTATATGACAGAATCACAGTATTAAAGTGGCAAAATAGAAAGCGATTTTCCTTGCCATTTTCCTTTCTAAATATGGTGTTGGACTATTATTTTCGTCTCTGTTACTATTTATTCATGAATTAAATTTAACTATTCAAATAAAATAGCATAGTAAAAAGATATCACATTCTAGAAATTAAACCATCTCGGATGGGATTCGAACCCACGACCTTTGGATTAAAAGTCCAACGCGCTACAGGGACAAAACGAGCGATTTTCCTTTTTATATATGGTGTTGGACTATTATTTTTGTTTCTTTTTTTCATTAATTATATTTTATTAATGAATATATATTTGAAAAAACTGTATTAACATCAAAAAGGCCATACACTACTACAAGTTTAAAATAAATGTATTTGAACTTGAGTGGATGAATAAAGAGTATTTTATTAATGATTGAAAATTTGAACAAGATATAACGAGTGTTTTTTTTCCAGGTATAGAAGTTTAAGTTGGCATTACTTTCCAAGATGGCGACCGATTTAACAGCTGTCAAGTGATTTATTCTCAGTTTGGTTTGGCAATTCATCATGAATAGACTCACGCCTGAACAACGCTTTCAAACTGTGCAATTTTATTTCGAAAATAATGGTTCTGTGCGGAATACGTATCGCGCACTACGTCCATTTTATCGTCGACAAAATCGTCCATCAGAGCAGTTAATTCGATTAACCATGGAACGTTTTCGCACCACGTTTACTCTAATTGATAACTCGCATCCCCAGAGACGCCGTACGGTGCCTACAGAAGAAGCTATTGCTACTGTAGAGCGTAGCATTGAGGAAGACCCGAATGAGTCCATCCGCCAACGAGCACAGGAATTACATCTGTGTCCATCCACTTTATGGAAGATTTTGCGGAAGGATCTTGGTTTGCGTGCTTACAAAATCCAACTCGTGCAAGAATTGAAGCCAAACGATCATCAAGCAAGGCGTAGATTCGTCGAATGGGCCCAAAACGAGATTGCCGTTGTTCCCGATTTTCATAAGCGAATTTTGTTCAGCGATGAAGCGCACTTCTGGTTGAATGGCTACGTCAACAAACAAAACTGCCGCATTTGGAGTGAAGCTAATCTCCAAGTGTATATCGAAACACCGTTACATCCAGAAAAACTGACTGTTTGGTGCGCGTTATGGGCTGGTGGAATCCTTCTTCAAAAACGATGAAGGCCACAACGTTACAGTCAATAGTGATCGGTATAGAGCCATGATTACTAACTTTTTCATTCCTGAATTGAACAATCATGATGTCCAGGAGCTGTGGTTCCAACAAGACTGCGCAACATGTCACACAGCTCGTGCCACAAACGATTTATTGAAAGACACGTTTGGTGACCGCCTAATTTCACGTTTTGGACATGTGAATTGGCCTCCAAGATCTTGTGATTTAACACCGCTAGACTATATTTTTGTGGAGCTATGTAAAGTCATTGGTGTATGCGGATAAGCCACAAACGCTTGACCATTTGGAAGACAACATTCGCCGTGTTATTGCCGATATACGGCCACAATTGTTGGAACAACAAATTTAAATGAGTCGTGGATTCGAATCCAGATGCCTCTGAAGATCCGCACGAGAAAAGGGGATGATTCGCGTTAAAACTATCGAGTTCTAAAAGCCGTATCTCACGTACAAGTTTCGAGCAATTTTTCGTCCAATTCGTGTAATTTTTACTCAGTTGCCATAGCAATAGCTTTCGAACAACTTTTTGTAAGTGAGCTCAGAAAGTTGTTCCAAATAAAAGTTGCTTGAAATTCCAGCCAATGAGGTTCTTCGGCGTTCTACGTCATAAACAAGATGGCGGCTTCGATTTCATCAAACGCATTAGGTATGGTGTATAATATTTTAATGGTGCAAATATTTTAATTGTGTATAAATTTTAACGGCGTATAATATTTTAAATAGAATGGTGCTCCACTTCTGATTACACTCATCAACAAAAGCGGGGGAGAAATAAAAGAAATAATTTTGGATGTTCGTTTTCCGAAGCAAAAAAATCGGCGAGTAATTTTTCAATGTGGAGATAGAGCGTGACTGACGTCAGAGCAAACTCGTTTTGCTTAAGGCAACCCTTCCCCCTCAGAATAGGCAAAAAATTGGACGAAAAAGTTGCAAGGAAAATGTACGTGTGATACGGCCTTAATAAACTTAATTTTGTTGAATATATGGGATTTTCTTCTTTTTTGTAATATCCTTTAACATGATAAAATATTTCAGTTCCCTCAGTTTCATGTTAGCCGATTTTCACAGTACAGGATATAACTGCACAACTTTTAATATAATAATATAACAAAACTCTATTTGGTATTAGGAATTAATTAAATAATCACCAAAAGATGCCGAAATTTGACTAGACTGCGATGCTCAACGCTTATTTCATTCTTCTGAAGAGGTAATTTTCCGTAAAAAATTTTCTTGTCTGAAACATTCACAAAATTTATTCACTTGTTATAATTACAGCTTAAATTAACAAAGAAAAATTGTTGTATCTTTTATTTATGTGTACTAAAACAGTTTCCCATCCTTTCTTACTTTATATCCTCAAATACAGAGATCTCCAAGCATTTTGATTACTTATCCCTAGGACGAAAATAATTGTAAATTGTACCCAACAAGAATAGTGAAATGGCATGTAATGCAATATAATTCAAAAATCATCATGCGCATGCGCGCGAAGACCGATGTAATGATGTTGAAATTTCTAGACGCTAGTGAAGAGAGTATGTTTATTAACGCCGCAGAAAAACAAACCGAGGGCTTTGACGATGGACCTCATAATTTCCAGCCTCGATGACGATGACGACACCTAAGTCGGCATCTTCTACGTCCTAGCTGCAACACCACTCCAATTTTAGGATATTGAGCCATGACATCGTAACGTACACCAGCTCCTATATACGGCGGGTCTTTAGTGGTAAGAGAATTCGAACTCATAACAGTCGGACCACGAGCTCTGGACGATGACTATCTGGCTACCGTGGTCAACATACGTTAGCGAAACTATACAGTGAAGAAGACAGAACCTCCCCTTAAGTACTTCGACGTGATTTTTTGGTGTACCCACCTAGTATCACTTTGTAAGTACCCCCAAGAAATTCCACGTGTCCTAAGTATCACACACCCTCTGCAGTACGTGTACTTCTT